CGTGAGGTTAGAAAATAGCATCAAGGATCTTGGGGTGACATTTTTGACAGTTCTGAAAAGAGAAAGGGAGAGATTGTAAATGGGTTGATAAATATAGATCCGTTAGATGAATATAGATTCAACGATTCGTATAAATTGATGAATAAAAATATAAAAATGACATTCTATTTTGACACCTGTCATTGGAGTAAATTAATAATTCAGGAGTGCCAAAATACTATTTAAAGTTACAAATAAATAATTTTACACCCCAAAATCACAACTCTATTTAAAATTGCTCTAAGAGGAGAGCACTTGTAACCTAAACCTGCCATCCCAATCCACTCTTCTGTCTCAACAATACCTTTATTATTATGCTGATATGTTAGCCGACTAAATAATTATAATATACACTGAGAATAAATAAAGAAAAATAGATAAAACTTTATCCAGTTGCATATCTACAATAGTAGCTTTCATATCAATCTGCAATAGGAGCTTTCATATCAAACAACAAATAGTTAGCCACCCAAATTGACCTGAGCATTGTCAATTCAGACCTGTTATCCATTGTCTTATTGTTTTCTTTGGTTAACCGTTACATCAAATCATTTTTGTCGCGTAGCATAATTGTTCAATGATTAGTTAATAAGTAAATAAAATAAGCCGTATTTTTTTGCATAGATAATTATTATCTTAAATGGAGAGTTACTTGAAGGAGCGAGATCTATTTTGCTTGTTTATTGAGTTATATAAATTGACGGTTACATCGTGTATCAATGATTACGTGATATAACCGTTACAATAATATTTTCTCTTGATTTGGGATTTATATTCCGTTTTTCCTATTCCGTTTCTCAACATTTAATAGAAGGATTTCTTGTATCGCGCTCTTGGACCGTGATTTTGTAAATTTTTCTATCTAAATACAACAATTTCTATTCCATTTCCCAATTTACTGTTATTTTTATAAAGTCGTGGCTCAATTCTACACTTTCAAAAAAAAATGTAGAAGTAAATGTGCGAAAATGTGTTTTGCAAAAACGTTCTTATATTGAAAAACATGGATTTAATAGATACTTTTATGAAAATAAAATTTATTTGTGATTAAGTTAGAAATTGCGAGATTGAAGAAATAAATTTGAACCCGCAAGTCACTCTGTAGTTATCAGAATAATAAATAAATGCAAACAGCCATTCACGAATCAAGACACTATATGCAGCACCTTGCTGTTAAGAGCTGGAGCTGGCCTAAATTTTAAGCTACAGCAAGGGTTCATCCTGATGGAAACAGATTCTCTGTGTGTGGGGTAAGACTGTGTATACCTTATACTCCCCAGAGAGTCGTAGTGGTGGGGCCTTGTGCACCGACCGCCCTTTTGCAAGTTTGCATCCTTGCAGATGATCAGCATATCATTCCACCTGTAGTTTTACCGAAAGCCTGAAACGTCAGAGCTCAGAGAATTTGACTACTACTAGGATTCCTGCATTCAAATGTAAAATGTAGCTAAATGTATGGTTTTTCACATAAATGCAGACTCACATCCAACAGACAAACTTCACATTAATGCACTTGAACCCCAAATGCTATACTACCTTGCAAATGTTCAAGGCAAGTTTCACTCTGCAATATATCCATCACCAATGTTTGAGGGAAAATTTTATTTGCACTCAAATCTTTAAAGACCATGGGAACCTAATGGACTTCCCTTCAATAACCGCTTCATGGAAGATGGAGGCACTTTAGCTCTTTGATAGGCCGCAGCTTTTCTTTAAACTTAAAAACCTATCCATGTCTTCCAAATTCGTGATGTGGGTTATGAAGAAAGAACTAAAAGTGTACTGATACACACATGATCAAAAATCTCTGTAGTGGATGTTGTCTGTAGAAGTTTCCTAGTGCTTATGTATACACGAAATGCAATGGAGAAAGGATTGCAATATCTATCAGAGAATGCAGTTGCTGGCTTCAAGGACCTTTCGCTTCGCCAACCTTTCAACCCTCAAATTCTTTGCCAAGTGCCTTTCTGTTTACTGGAAGCAAAAAATTAAATGCAGGAGCTGATCAGCTTCACAAAAGTTTGAAAATTGCAAGGCAAGGCAATGCATATTTGGCTCTGGGTTTGCTAACTTTGCACAATTTCATGAGGTAGTGTTTGTCTTATATGAAGATTTTTATAGGTCAATTGTATCTCACTATTCCTGTCACCAGTAATCTCCACATGAACACTTCCCATCCTTGAAATGGTGAAATCGGCTATTATCTCTCACAATTATCTCTCTTCCCACAATCTTTGATATGAACTTTGTTGCTGTATGGCAGTCTATACAAACCCGAAGGTTCTTTGTAACACGAATTGTCATCCCAGCAGGGGTGCTAATAATACCAAATGCTATTGCAAGTCTTTCACTATGGCTACTCAATAAATGTCTCTTCTGCTCCTCCTCAACATCATGTAATACCTCATTGGTGTTTGGAACATACCCTTCTCGCTCCATTTGTTCTAAGAGAACTTCCAGTGCCTCACATATTCTGTCATAATATGGGTGTGATGTATCATCTGCCACAAAAGCATGTACTTTGTTCTTGACTTCAATCCAGCTGCAAGCAGGTTTCTTTCTCATGTTCTTATCCCTCAAACGAATTCTCAACTTTGCTGCTGCTTTCCATCTCCCAGCAGCAGAATATGTGTTTGACAAGAGAGCATAAGCTCCCATATTCTCAGGATCAACTGTAAATATTTCTTTGGCAACCTTCTCAGCCAATTCAACATTTTTGTGTACTCTACAAGCAGCCAACAATGTCGACCAAACAATGCTTGTTGACTCAATATGCATGCTAGAGATAAATTGGTAAGCTTCCTCCAATTTTCCTGCTCGACCAAGAAGGTCTGCAACAGCAGCATAGTGCTCTATGCCTGGGGTGATACCATAAGCTTGGGTCATGCTGTTAAAATATTTCCAAGCTTCATCAACCAATCCAGCATGGCTACAAGCAGTCAAAACAGCAATAAACACCACATAGGTAGGTTTTCCTCCCTCCTTCTCCATTTGCTCAAATAACAAGATGGCATCATGGGCAAACCCATGCAATGCATACCCCATTGTCATTGCGGTCCATGACACCATGTCATGTAGCTCCATCTTATTGAAAATCCCCCGGGCTATCCTAATGTTCCCACATTTTGCATACATGTCCACCAGTGAGCTAGCTACGAAGACATTATCACCAAATCCGCCCCTAATAATGCATCCATGTAGCTGCTTCCCTAAATGTAATGTGGTTAAGTGAGCACAAGCAGGCATTACACTTGAAAATGAAATGTGCATAGGCTTAATTTTCGCCACCAACATCTGCCTAAACAATTTCAGGCCTTCATCAAACAGTCCATTCTGCACACATCCCGCAATAATTGAGTTCCATGAAACATCATCACGTTTAGGCAACAAACCGAACAGTCTACATGAATCTTCCACCCTAGTACAATTCGCATACATGTCAATCAAGCTACTTCCAATGAACACATCCTCATCAAACCCATGTCTAATAGCATATCCATGAATCTCCTTTCCCTTCAAGACATCCACATATTCTGCAAAAATAGGAAGCACACTAGACAAAGTGAAAGAATCAGGCTTCAAGTTTGCATTCCCCATATCTCTCACCATCATTAGAGCTTCCTGATACATCCCATTTTTAGCATTGCCCATAATGACTGTATTCCATGAAACTATATCTTTCTCAGGCATCATTTCAAAAACTTTGCTCATACTCTCCATTCTTATAGTCCCTTTCTTTCTCCCTCCCACCGAAAACTCGAAATCTTCTCTTTGTTTGTCAGTTTGAGCCAACGAATCACTTGCTTTATTCAAATTAGCTTTAGAACCAACAGGCAGAATCCATTTTTCAAAGAGTTCGATAGNTTCTCTTTGTTTGTCAGTTTGAGCCAACGAATCACTTGCTTTATTCAAATTAGCTTTAGAACCAACAGGCAGAATCCATTTTTCAAAGAGTTCGATAGACCCATTGGAGTCATCTCCACTATGTTGCTTTGATTCAGAAGTTTCATCAAACACCTGAGACGCATTAAACCTACGCCCACCATCAACATCTAAGTCAGGCAATTTTGAGTACATGCTCATTAGTGCATTTCCANGACGCATTAAACCTACGCCCACCATCAACATCTAAGTCAGGCAATTTTGAGTACATGCTCATTAGTGCATTTCCAGTGTAAAGATCACAATCCATACCAAGCCTTATTATACACCCATGAACAGACTGACCAAGCCTCAATTCCCCCAAATGCGCACAAGATTTTAGCACAGAAGGGAACACATTCCGATCTGGGTACTTCCCTAAAGCCCTCATTTCGATGAAAGAAGCTAAGGAACATGCAAAAAAACCATTGGAAGAGTAACACTTGATTATGGACTTCCAAGCTACAGTGGGTGGTGAGTGAAGTGTGTTGAAGACAATGAGGGATTCATGTAAGAGGTTGAGGTTGGAGTAGATGGAGAGAATGGTGGAGGAGATAGAGGGAGAGGCGGTTCTTGTAGTTTTGATGAGTTGGGCGTGGAGTTGCTTGGCTTGGGACTTCGTTTTGATGGAAGATGGGTTGTGGAGGAGGGTTTGAGCTAAATTCATCATGGGTTTTTGCTGTTCTTGATGAGGAAGGTTGCTTTTCCTCAACAAGCATGATGCTGTTGTTACTGCCTAATGGAAGTTCTCACTCACTTAAGAAGCCTTGAGAATTACAACCTGAACAAGTACGGAGTTGGATATGGATTCAAAAAGTTTTGATTTTATATNAATGGAAGTTCTCACTCACTTAAGAAGCCTTGAGAATTACAACCTGAACAAGTACAGAGTTGGATATGGATTCAAAAAGTTTTGATTTTATATAAACACTTTGGATGAAGTTATGATTCAATCAAACCATTTCACTCGCCACGGATTGGGGTGATCCAGTGGAACCAACTAAAATGGAGGTGTGAGTCTTAAAATTTAAATTAGAGCTCGGTGATTGATTGTTATACTAGTCTAATTAGATTTGTTCATAAAGAAGATTAACAGACACGGTCAAGGGCCTCATGATCTTTTATCGCTTTTTTTTTGCCCCCATTCCTTTTTTCAAAAGAAAAATAAAAACACCATTTAACTCAATCCCTAATAATTTTATTTTATATTCATAATATCACTTGATTGATCGTAATTTTTGGTANTTTTTTCAAAAGAAAAATAAAAACACCATTTAACTCAATCCCTAATAATTTTATTTTATATTCATAATATCACTTGATTGATCGTAATTTTTGGTATGAGAGGACAAAAAAGTACACTTAAAATAACGTAGCCTTTCCTTGGTATAATGTGGTCGGAAGTCTCCAATGTTTAAAAAACTTGCTTAGACGAAGATAATACTGTAATGTGCAAAATGGAAACTTACATCGTTAATGGTGGAAACTNAAAAACTTGCTTAGACGAAGATAATACTGTAATGTGCAAAATGGAAACTTACATCGTTAATGGTGGAAACTTGAATCGTAATGATAATTCATTTATTTGTTATTTGTGATCTAATTAGACAACATCTTGTTTCAAATATTAGAATTGCTAAGAAAAAAATTCGAAGAAAAAAATAGCTTGTATGAAAAATACTTCAAGAATATCTAGGGTGACATTAATCGAGGATACAAAACAAAAAAAATTATGTTTTATTTCTAAACTTCAACAAGCGTAGATTTATTATTAATATTTTTCTATCCCATTCCCAAACCATGTACCTTCCATAGTTGATTTAGTCCTCATCTCTGTAATACCTGCAAAATATTGCAAGACTAATAAACCAAACACCTGAAATGGGGTCTTAACTCTTTACAATTATGAGGTTGAGAGAGACAAACCCATTGGGGACAAATTGGGATAATGCTGGAAGTATTATGCACACGAACCTTGGATTCCTCTATTCATTGGATAAAACACTTATATAGACATCAACAGATAATACATAACACATAACACATACTAAGAGGATTAAGTGCCCACTTCTGCGCCAAAGTTGAGCACAAATAGCCTGACCACTGATTTCAAGGACAAGCTTCACCTGTTATGTCATTTAACAAAAGGAAACAACCCTTACGAAGTAAACTAAGAAAAGATCAAGCGTAAGCACCCACAGGCATATTACGATGAACAATACAAAACAATGTCATATTCCACATAATAGGTCAGTGANTAACAAAAGGAAACAACCCTTACGAAGTAAACTAAGAAAAGATCAGGCGTAAGCACCCACCGGCATATTACGATGAACAATACAAAACAATGTCATATTCCACATAATAGGTCAGTGAACAAATGGATCTTGGTTCTCGAAGTTATGTATCAAGCCATATATTTGGTCTGTATTCAAGTCAATCCATTGAAGAATACAACATATACTCCATGAGCATAACCCCACAGCACCCCCTACGCCCAGAATTTGCAAGGTGCTACTTCGCACTTCTTAGCGTTATCTCTTAATCATCTTCTCTTTCAGGTGGAAGACCACATGGCAAAAGCATTTTCTGCACATTTTCAAGAACAACAAAAAAAAATCAGATGTTTTATGATGGTATGACTGACTATTTGTCAGGGTAAGCACTAAAAAACATCACAACATATGCATGCTTCCCAATATTGATAGGTACTGAGAGCAGCTGTATAATACAGTTTCATCAGCATACTTGGTAGACTAAGCATAAGACAACTGGATATCATGAATCTGGTTTGGAAGAAANGCATGCTTCCCAATATTGATAGGTACTGAGAGCAGCTGTATAATACAGTTTCAGCAGCATACTTGGTAGACTAAGCATAACTGTTGACCTATAGTACTTAGACCAAACCTTCTTTTCAACAACGGTTCAAATATTTTTGCACTCACTCCTCTTGTAAGGGGTGCTAAAGTAATTACATAATGCATACTGTCATAGTTCTATGATGCCTTGTAACCTCGTAGAATTTTGGTCATGAACCAGGCCTGTGTACCGTCAACGCGATCTTGGCATATAACTGTTACCAAGTCCGAAAGACATAGAAGAATGAAATCATGAAGAAAATCAACCAATGTCTTTCCGCTTTACAGTACCTCAATGGGATTTGTAAGAAATAGCTATTGATCTCACACACTTGACAGGTGAAGAAAATCTTTGAATGATGTCTCATCTGACAATCGAAGTTGATAGCACAGTGAGGAAAGTTGAGACATGTTCTGTGAAACTACCATTCTGTCCTCACAAGTTTGCCAAAGGGTTAGATCAATCCAGAAAATTGCATCTATCTAACACAAAGATTTTAAGTNCTACCATTCTGTCCTCACAAGTTTGCCAAAGGGTTAGATCAATCCAGAAAATTGCATCTATCTAACACAAAGATTTTAAGTTGGTTCGTTAACATAGCCTAATTACATCTTATTTTTCTGAACTTTCTTACGAAAGAAATATATTCNGTTGGTTCGTTAACATAGCCTAATTACATCTTATTTTTCTGAACTTTCTTACGAAATAAACATATCCACAACTTCATGCAATACAGTGCCAGCAGTACAGATGCAAAAATTTCCATACTAGCATTTGATCACTGATTACTATTGACAACATCTTACTTGATAGCTTACCATTTTCTATAAAATGCATACAATTGACAATATCTTCTTAATATTTTCCCATTTTCTATAAAGTGCATACAAATTTGTTTCCTTATAGATACCTTCCACATATGCAGCAAGAATTGGTGAGGATAATATAAANATACAGTGCCAGCAGTACAGATGCAAAAATTTCCATACTAGCATTTGATCACTGATTACTATTGACAACATCTTACTTGATAGCTTACCATTTTCTATAAAATGCATACAATTGACAATATCTTCTTAATATTTTCCCATTTTCTATAAAATGCATACAAATTTGTTTCCTTATAGATACCTTCCACATATGCAGCAAGAATTGGTGAGGATAATATAAATAAAATAACTATGAATATGATCCAGGACATTCATATTATCCATTGCTTATATAGGACTACAATCAATTCCAATCAGAAAACAACCCTAAAAACACACTCCTCAAAAAGGAAATAAGTACAAGGTCAACAACTACAACCCATTAAGAGAATTCAACATAGAAACCAACCTTCATAAATTTTTTATCTTGTAAACTATGAAGCATGGATACATCGACGGTGGATATAATACTCGTCTGATACTCGAAATTATGTATCGGATACACACTAAACGTATCCAATAATAGATAAAATATATGGATACTTCTATATACACAGAAATATATGTAATTTTTAATTTTAATCTTTACTCATTCCTTTTGATTTCACATACAATGTAATACATCAACAAAAATTCATATGACTTGAAAGACACGAGTGTTTTCCAAGTATTATTCATTATCACAAGTCCAAAAAGATTAAATAACTTTTTGAAAATAAAAAATTACTAATGTTNGAATTCAACATAGAAACCAACCTTCATAAATTTTTTATCTTGTAAACTATGAAGCACGGATACATCGACGATGGATATAATACTCGTCCGATACTCGAAATTATGTATCGGATACACACTAAACATATCCAATAATAATAGATAAAATATATGAATACTTCTATATACACAGAAATATATGTAATTTTTAATTTTAATCTTTACTCATTCATTTTGATTTCACATACAATGTAATACATCAACAAAAATTCATATGACTTGAAAGACACATGAGTGTTTTCCAAGTATTATTCATTATCACAAGTCCAAAAAGATTAAATAACTTTTTGAAAATAAAAAATTACTAGTGTTTATTATTTTTAAAGAATCACTAAAAATTATAACTCTCAAGTCCGTACATAATAGTAAAAATATAAAATATATATTTATATACGTATCTCGGTCGTACTCGTATCCTCTTTTTTGGGGTTTTGTCACATCGTCGTATCTGTATCATATCGTACCCGTATGTCATATTCGTGTTTTCTAGCTTGTAAGTAATACCGTAGCAGGGAAAAATATCTCAACCTAGTTTTTTTAAGTTATTAAAAGAGCACTTCAAAAAGAGGAGAACCAGTCAATGTTTTGCAATCAAAATTTGGAATTTTACCTCTTTTTTCATTTTCTTTCGTTTTTGGCTTTTAAACTGCTTGAAACTATGCCCAAAAATGAAATTTTAGCCTTGTATGGTTGCACTAGAGTTAAGAAAACAAGAATATGGAAAAGGAGCGAGGTTCAGGTGGTAGTGACAACATTTTCTTCGATAGAGTTGATATCCTTTAGATGATGGGAGAAAAAAAGAGAAGGGAAGAGATTCACCTGGGCCAGCCCTGCAGGGCCGGAAGGGGGGGGGGAGACACTTGAGACGAGAAAAACAGAACTGGAGAGAGAAGTGAGGTCCAGTTGGCAGTCATGAGAAATTTCATCTTTTCTATTTCCCAACAAATTGTGCTGCTTGATTTTTCAAGGACAGATTAATGAAGAGGACAATTCAGTACACGCGGCTCTTACCACTAAAGAGTTTGGGACAGTAAAATCTACTCAACCTTTTAATGCATTGAGACTTGAGACTTTATCTGATTTTTCTTCTCTGTCTCCTCAAGCAGGAGGTGACAAAAATTGGGAGAAACATGGTTAGAAAAGAACTCTTCTTTTCTTCCCAACAAAAAATTCTAATTTTTTTCCACCCGACTGCAATTTCAAACCACTACACCATGCTGAATTACAGAGACATAATGAATCAATCCAAANATCTGATTTTTCTTCTCTGTCTCCTCAAGCAGGAGGTGACAAAAATTGGGAGAAACGTGGTGAGAAAAGAACTCTTCTTTTCTTCCCAACAAAAAATTCTAATTTTTTTCCACCCGAATGCAATTTCAAACCACTACACCATGCTGAATTACAGAGACATAATGAATCAATCCAAATGTCGCAAGAGGATGACTTCAGATATCTAAAGCAATTTTAATATTTGAAATGAAAACACAACGTGCAACAATAACATCAATGTACAGTAATCTTCAATCAGCAAATATTAAAGCACTTGCAGAAAGGACATTAAAGGGGCATTTTTTTTTCCAGCAATAAAAGCCAACANTACAGTAATCTTCAATCAGCAAATATTAAAGCACTTGCAGAAAGGACATTAAAGGGCATTTTTTTTTCCAGCAATAAACGCCAACAAAAAAATAACTTTTCAAAAGAAAATCACTTATCATGAAAATCATAATGAAAAGCTTAAAATGGACAGAACCTGCATAAAATTGTAACGTTCTCGTCCAATTGATTCATTTTCCGCAATAGCAAAATAAGCAAGCATGGGATAATGGCCAACGTACGCAGCATAACTGTCCCGTTGAATGTTGACCGCCCACTCACTACACAACCAAATACATCAAAAGGATAAGAACAAACTAACACAAATGAATGTTTTAAAACAAATTCGTGTCAAGTAATGGGTACTTACAATCTATTTAAGTCGGCATGCCCAGTCCCTACATACTTAGCTTGCAAATGCTCAAGCTGAGAGTTAATATTAAATCTGTCGCTCGCCTACACAGAAAACAGCAAAGATTAATCATTCACACCCAATAAAGGGTTGGAAAATAATTTATAAAGCTCCACAATAAATAAAATATATAAACACAACAACATACAAGAGTGTGAGCTCAAAACATAGTATGATATAATCCGCTAAAAACGAACAAAATTTCTCAATAACCACACACATCAAATATACACAAGGAAGAGTTGTAGCTAACAACCACATTAAATTTCTTGAGAAATGAAGAAAATTACGAATTCTAGATCTCAGATTCCTTTCACCGTTCTGAAAACCCAGAAAGCAACTAAAATCACTAACTTATTTTGCTCCCTTGTACCTCGGTTTTCTCGGGAACAAACGGAAGGTTAAGCACTTAGATCAGGAAAATTAAAAAATTTAGGTGTATGTAAGCATAATAAACATGGATAAAAGAGTAAAATTCATGAAATCCTTGAGCAATTTTAGGGTTTTCCAAAGGGGGAACGAGCTTAGGGTTTTTGAATTTCATTGTTCGAAGCAGCGTAAACCTTGAAATTCAATCTATTTAAGACAATTGCATTAGAAATATTTGTATGTGTGTACCAGAGAATTACCTGCATATTCACCTCTCAGAAACACCGATTTCACACAGCCAGAGAAAGAGAGGGACAGAGAGATTTGAGCAAGTCTTGGCTCGAGACTGATGCTCCGCTCGGTAGGAATGATGAAACGGAGGTGGAATCCATTTTTTTATCACTCATATATTTTTCTTCCTTTTGTTTAGTTGGATAGATGAAAACTAAAAGGGAGTAATTTTTTTTTTATTTTTTTTTTGCTCGTTAAGAATTGGGTTGACAATTGAGCCGTGTCATATCGTGTTAAGTCATTTTTAAGTTTTTGTCGAATTATAATTAAATTTATATCATAAAATTTGTGTCGAATTCGAGTCATGTCATCGTATTTAGTCGAAAATTTTCACCCTAATTAAGATGAAAAAAATATTTTTTTTTAATTTAAAATTTTTATTTTTTATTTTTTTAAAAAAAGTATATATATATATATATATATTAATTATATATATATATATATATATACATAATATATATAGATAAATAATATATATTTCGACACAAATAATTAACTTTTCATCTATTTTCTTTCTGATTTTGGAGGGATTGATTTTAGTGAAATGGAAAGAAAGTTAATTCATCTACTTTTTCATCATTCCTATTTTCTTTTTATACCAAACATGATATTTTATCTATTCCTCTAACTTTCAATCCTTTCATTTTCTCGTCGTACCAAACGGAGCACAAGGGTGGCCGAAGAACTCAGAAAACCGATTATATATTGGTGAGGCGGCCAAATGGGTCTTGGGCTGCTGGATTCCAAATAAGTCCACACCCCCGGTCATTGTGACGCTTTCAAGACGGTCGCCCGTGTTTTAAGATTTTTTTGCATTATTTAAGTTTTATTCTTCGACTCTCGCTTTTACTCCCGCTCTCACTCGATGTGATTTAAATCTCGAATTTATATCATAAATAACAAAGTTATTAGGACGTTTGTTTATAGAGTAACATTATGTTACCAAAAAAGTTGTCATACCAAAATTTATAATTTTTTAAAATCAAGCTATAGTTTTTTAATGATGAAGATGGTTTCTCAAATCTTTAGATGAGGCTATGTTTACCATCGACCTTGGTTTTTTTTTGGGAACAGACAACCGTTGTCTTTGTAAATCAACCATTGGGTATGACTTCTTGTGCTACCTGGGACCGGAGGCAATTGTTTAGACAACGTTATTAGGAGTAATAAGTCCACAACAACATATCTGTGTGCCAGCAGAACTGGAATCAAACATTAGAAAAAGAAACTCAATACACGAGACTCTGGTCAAACTGGTAGTTAACTTCATTAGTCAACTCACACACACACACACACACACACACACAGACTCCAAAATTGGATCCAAACAGAGATTTCAATCTTGAATTTGGTGTTGATAGCATTAAACCTATAGTGAGAAGATAATTACATGAGCAACAACAACTGCAACTTACTGTAGAGTGTTTCTGCAGCTCAACAAAAGGGTTAAAAAAAAAACTACACATTACCTCTGAAAAAATGAAATATACAATTACAGAAACCTATTGACAAAGATCAAGATACAAGTTGAACAAGGTAGATAAGTGCCGCCAAAACTGCCTTCACCATAACTTCCAATTTGAATTTGTTTTTTTTGAATGAAAGCAGCCCAACAGAAGCTTTTCACTTGGAAAAAACTTAATCATGGTTTGCTTGATTGACTATGGTCATTGATGTTATAGACAGATTAGTGAGGTTTAGACGGGTTCGCCCTTTTTCGAGATTTCTAGTTGTCGAGGCAACAGGTTGAGAAAGCTCCCTTGAGCAGGTTGAGCCGAAGCAGAATCCGACTCTTCATCTGTAGCATGCCAAAACAAGGATATGAGCAGTTGAATACACCCTTATTNCTTCGAGATTTCTAGTTGTCGAGGCAACAGGTTGAGAAAGCTCCCTTGAGCAGGTTGAGCCGAAGCAGAATCCAACTCTTCATCTGTAGCATGCCAAAACAAGGATATGAGCAGTTGAATACACCCTTATTTTTGGTTATGGTCTCTTAATAGTTATACTAATATTCTTACAATGTTTCCAGGGCACATAGGCACAAAAGGCAAATAACAAGAATAAACCAAGTGAAAATTACATTGAAGGCAAATAAATTTCAACCAATTTCTAAATTTATTTTTTCGGTTTAAATATCAATCCCTAAATTTCTATATAGTATGATTATTTGATGTCATTGGATACTTTGGGTTGCTGTCATCTTGTTGCTAGGAGTATTAGACAGAACTCCTACAAAGAACCCAAGGTTATTTGAACAAGGGTGTTTGAGAAGAATCAGTCCAATTATCTGGNAAAGAATAAACCAAGTGAAAATTACATTGAAGGCAAATAAATTTCAACCAATTTCTAAATTTATTTTTGCGGTTTAAATATCAATCCCTAAATTTCTATATAGTATGATTATTTGGTGTCATTGGATACTTTGGGTTGCTGTCATCTTGTTGCTAGTAGTATTAGACAGAACTCCTACTAAGAACCCAAGGTTATTTGAACAAGGGTGTTTGAGAAGAATCAGTCCAATTATCTGGACTAATAAAACATATGATCTAATCTTATCATACTTCAATAAAGTTTCCAACAAGTTTTTAAGAGTCGTAAAGAGGTGTCTGTATCCAACAACAATCGATAGGAATTTTTCCAGCATGGAACTCAAAAGCCCAGGGTGTTAATAGAAACTTAAGAGGATGTTTACTAATAAGAATGTTAGGTCAACTTTAAAAGTCCACATTTGCACCAAAAAATACAAAATTCAAACAAATTACTTTTCAGTGCCAAAATTAAGCTGCATAATTTACTGGATTCAACTAATGCAACCTCTATCCGAATTGAATCTCAAAATTCTACCAAAAAGAGGGTAAATTAATAAGCAGAAGAGTAGAATAGTGGTAAGCAAAAGATAAAAAAAAAAAAACTGAAAGATTTAAAACATGAATGGGACAAAAGTGGGTGTTATTTCTATGAATGGCTGTTTGAGAAAAATAGAAGACAGACATACAAAGAGATCAAGCTATGTCAAATTACACCAACGGGCAGTCACTCCCAACAATGGATGTTATGCATAAAAGTAACTAAAGAGATTTCGGCTTCTTGCAGATAACAATGTATTACTATTGGACATGTCATTCCATGGAAATTGTTCTTTGACGCGAAGACAAACAAATAAGTAGATAACCATGCACTGTTTACTCCTGGGCTCAAACAGCAAAAACTGAACTGTCAAAATATGTCTAGGTACATTCATAGTTTTGTTCTTTTTTGGAAAATTCATGCGAGGCAACAGTCAAGTGGTATGGAAATAACAAGAGCCACTGTAATAAAACCAACTTTTTAGAGAGAGAGAGAGAGATCCTACTGAAAAGGGACTTCACAGTGGGCCTCTTAGGTTTTGNAAGTGGTATGGAAATAACAAGAGCCACTGTAATAAAACCAACTTTTTAGAGAGAGAGAGAGATCCTACTGAAAAGGGACTTCACAGTGGGCCTCTTAGGTTTTGTACTCTTCTTCTTCAATTCAGCTGCAACCATATAAAAGCATTATGACCAAAAAATAGCAAATGTGCCAAATAAATCATAATTGATTGTTGAAGAAAATGAAATTGAAAGAACTGCAAAATACAAATCCATAATAATATTATCATCCCTAATTAAATGATAATGGAGGTAAATAAAATACTACATATACATACCAATTCCAGGAACCTCATGATCGTTCACGATTTCGAAGTTTTTATATGTGTAGCCCACGAAGTTGACATCCTTAGACGGAAGCATCTGTCCCAAGACAGAAGCAGACACTAGAGTGATGAACTGATATGCAGAGTTCATAAATAAGTTATGGAAGAGAATATCAATAATCAGAAACATGCTTCATGCATCAATGATGTGGGATAGACTTTGCAAACATAAGTTTCTATCAGATTCCAAGATCAACTTACCACTAATCATTTTCACCCGAATAGAATGCTGCAACACTAATACATTCATGTCTTCCTAAAGACAAACTTTTTAGGAAAATTTTCTTATCCCTCAAGTAATCCCAAACTACCTCATTTCTAACAATGAAGTGCATCCTAACAGAAAGAGTTGCCAACCCTAGATGCACCATAATCTGGGCCATTCCTACTTTCTTCAATTTCTTCTTCTGCCTTTATTAGGAGAAAAAAGAGCTAGTGTGATAGAGATGCTCTGATGGTGGACGAAGCACTGGGATGGTTATGCTTAACGGAAGTTCTCATCCGCCAAACAATTATTTTGGCCAACAACTTACCAGGGTACGTACAACACACGACTAAGGGGTGGATTTACGTCCAATCCATGGATATGCAAGCTCCACTAGATGATTAACCTTAGATCATGCATTTGACTTCAGCTCCGTGATATTGATTTATAAAAAAAAAAAAAAAAGATGGTTTGCATCTCTCGAAACTTGATTACAAGTTTTTATATCTGGGTACATAGGTCAGGAGCCATTAAACTCAATGGGTACGTAGGTCCTATCGACAAAATTTGTAAGAACTGTTATATGCTCTATAAAGATATATTAAGATATACGTTTTGTGTAGAGCACACGACGGATTCAGATGCACTTTTGAGTGGATGTTATTTCTAAAATTGTTGCTCTTTCTAGGAGCTCATATTCATGATGTCAATGTAACCAACAGTAGAGTGGCTTTAGAGGCATAGAATGCACACAATTAAAACTATATATTCCAACCTTCCTCCATGGACCTGATTTTGTTGTGGTCGTCATTTGATTATCACTCTGCAACAACAAAAAAGAAGCATAAGAAGGTAAAAAATTGAGCCAAAAAATTGTCTGCAAACAGGAGTAACCATATTAATTTATCCAAATGGAAGGACTATTTTACCTCTTCAAACTTCTCAAAATTCTGGGTATCCAACTCATCATTAACTTCTGGAATAAATGCAGCTTTCATTTGATACAATTTGTCCCATTCAATACCTCTGAACCATGGGTGAGCCTGAACATAACAACCAGGTGATTCCTTAATTTGCAATTCACCAAGTAAGCATATTAGAACAATTCAGAATGGAACACACCACACAACACCTTTATTTCATCTGCGCCTTTGGTACCAAGCCTCTGATCTACATTACATAAAAGTTTACAAATAAGATCTTTTGCTTCTGGAGATAGCTTTGCTTCTTCTGGAAATTTTAAATGACTTCTCCAGTTCACTATCTGCACCAATGAGAAAAGAGAAATCAAGATGCAGCCTAGAAAAAGAATTCTGAAATGACAGAAGAGAAAAAATTAGTTGCAAAGGTGGAAGTACAAATGCTAAAAAATTATTCTTCTAACAGTTTTAAATTCTTCAGAAAATATAATAGAAAATGACAAGGCAAACCATGTGAGAATTTTGATGCCTTCAAAAATTCCTTTAACTAAGGGGGAAAACAAATAGGTAGTTAAGGCAAACATTAGGTAGATGATTATAGATAGTACAATCAGTCAACCATTTCATCGCGTACTTCATGCCTCGCCCATATAGGGAAACAATTGAGATGGATGTTATCCAACTAAAATGCNTTTCCTTTAACTAAGGGGGAAAACAAATAGGTAGTTAAGGCAAACATTAGGTAGATGATTATAGATGGTACAATCAGTCAACCATTTCATCGCGTATTTCATGCCTCGCCCATATAGGGAAACAATTGAGATGGATGTTATCCAACTAAAATGCCAGATTTACGGTAATATCCACTTAACTAGCTATATTTGGGGTAATATCCTTGCACATGATTCAGTCCGCATTGATAGTTTCTGTCCCAAAACCTGCTATTGGGGATCGTATAGGAATTAGATATATATTATAGATTAGTTATGAAAGTTATTTAGATACTTTTAATATTTATCATTTAAGTAATTTCTTTTAACTTTTGAGGGTTTATTTGTCATTATTTATTTGTTTTAGAGTCTTAGTTTCCCTATATAAAGGGGTGCATGTGACGGTTTTATTTAGATTAGACTTTGATTATTATTGAATACTGATATTGTTTCTCAAATTCTTTCTTTTTTCTCATCTATTTTTTCTTCTCTTCTCATTCCTATTTCTTACATTCTTAGTCTACGTCAATTTGGTATCAGAGCTAATACGATCTACATCAACTACACCCTTAAAAAGCTTTTTATCCGGATAACAATGAGAGAGAGGAGAACATGGCAGGGCATGGAGAAATTATAATCTTTAAGAATCAAAATGTCATAGAAAGAAGTGAGAATAGAACCACCTTCATTCTAATAACTAACATTCATAGTATCACCTCCAACACCTATGTTTCCATCATCCAATGAAACAATGAGAACATGAGCAATCAAAGGGCCCAAAGAAATACACAACTGGAATGTTGGACTTCCAAATGAACTCTGAGAGTCAACAAAAGCCCCAACAGAAAATGTAATAATTGGAGAGTTCACTTACAAGATCAACGTGATCATATGTCATTTAAGAAACTTATACATGCTAATGATTGCAACAGGGTTGAGATTGCAATCTGATCTTATGATCTCCCACCTTTTTTATGAAACCAAATAAATGGAAATCAGATTTAGTCCTATTCAATTGTAAATTGAAAAACCTTCCACCAAAAATAACTGGTTTGACTGAATGCACAGGTAAGACACTGAAACACTAAAAATGTATCTACAAAATTTTCAAGATGTGAACAAGGATGTGATAATGAGAACCATTATCTCATATAAGATATGCAATGAGAGAAAACCTAATATAGTGACAACATGACACAAAAGCTCGATTCAAGTCAAACTAATATATCGAATGAAAAACCTGACCCCAGGACAATAAAACCAATATTACCTTCCTGCAGGTAGACATAGGTTCATCTGAATAAAAAGGTGGATATCCCACAAGCATTTCGTACATAATAGCACCAAGAGACCACCTGTAAATTTATAAAGAGAGTCCAGATATGAATCTTTATATAATAGATGTTTCGTTATAAAGAAAAAAGAATTCTGTCAGAAACCACAAACCAATCACATTCCATTCCATATCCTTTCTTCAGCAAAACTTCTGGAGCGATATAATCAGGTGTCCCCACAGTGGAATAAGCCTATAATTTTTCCAATATGGAAAAATTTAGATGTTTCCATCAAAAAGCATTTTAAAACACAATTGAGAAGCAAAAAAATGGCAGCCACTGGTAGCTTTCATTAGTTGTTCTCTATAGTATTCAGCTAAGGATAATCTCAGAGTTTTAAGTACTTTGATAATTAGAAGAGCTGAACTCTATCTGATAACCAGGAAACAAAAGGCACTTTTCAACCAGCTTAGTATGGGTTTTATTACCACTAAGTAACATGAGACATGAAGGTCCAGCCTCATCCACTTCACAAAATTGTCAAATAACCTCATGTATGGAGATTTTACCTGGACAATGGTGACACACTATATGACAAGACTCAAAAGTGGAATATTTTGTAAAACATGCTGATGCAAACCATAAGAAGTTCAAGGAAAGCCAAACTCAAAGACGTGAAAAAGAAGTAAACTTGCCATTAAACTGNGACAATGGTGACACACTATATGACAAGACTCAAAAGTGGAATATTTTGTAAAACATGCTGATGCAAACCATAAGATGTTCAAGGAAAGCCAAACTCAAAGACGTGAAAAAGAAGTAAACTTGCCATTAAACTGAGACCCAAGTGGAACCTTGCATGATATATTAGAGTCTTATTTTTTAATTACTTTAAGTTGGTTATTTTATCTGTTTTTTTTTTAAAATTTCTACATTTAAAATTATAGTGCCAGTCCATACAAGTTTCCCACTCAATATGTAAATTGGAGTCCAAATCTTCGCGCTTAGGAAATACTTGGAGGCCTATATATAGCCATGTAATGTTAATTAACTAGGGAGAGTATATTCCAATAACTTTTGAGCTATGCTTTAGGAATTGTAACATATAATTCAAAACCCCAAGTGTGATGCCTAAGGAACCTTTGTAGTGATACCTAGTTTCTTTTTTCCTTTTGCTTCTTCCTTCTTCTATTTTTATTGAACTATCTAAGCAATAAACCCAATCACTAGGTCTAATACACACATCTTTATATCCTTGAACGTTATCTACCCAGTCGTACCCCTCCCTTTCACTTTCAATCCATCAAATCCTAACTTCCCCAAAATTAGTGTTCATGTGTAATTATTTTTGGGTTTGCTGCTGTACTACATCTCATACTCTAAAGAACTGCCTATTTTATGTTTGAACTGTAAGATATTGAAGTACTGATTACTAACAACACCCCCCCCCAAAAAAAAATAATAATAATAATAATAAAAAGGGCAACATGAGATACTTTAATAGTAGAGAGTTTACAAGCATCCTCCTATTCCTCTGCNCCCCCCCCCCCAAAAAAAAAAAATTAATAATAATAATAAAAAAGGCAACATGAGATACTTTAATAGTAGAGAGTTTACAAGCATCCTCCTATTCCTCTGCCAATGCTGCAGTTGCTCCTGCTGGGTGCGCTTTGGCTTTAAAGGCCGTCCATCACTTTGAAGAGCCCCACTAAGGTTACTTCCCACAGTAAAATCCTTCTCATGTAGATTACTGCAGTCCAGTGGTTTACATAATCCAAAATCCGACAATTTCATGTGGCCATATCTATCAAGTAGCAAGTTGTCGGGCTTGATATCCCTGTTGCACATAAATATGGAAAAATTACTCCTTCTGATATAATACAAGAACCCTTTGTGAGAACTCTACCATCGATTCCTATTAAATTATCATTGCTAAAAATTTTACCAACCTATGAATATAATTATGCTTATGGATGGATTCAATAGCTAGGACTGTTTCCCCAACATAAAACCTGGCCTCATCTTCAGTTAATGTATCCTTCCGCATAAGTAAAGTCATCATATCTCCACCAGGTAGGTATTCCATAATGAGATAGAGATACTCCTCATCTTGGAAGGAACAATAAAGCTTGACAATGCAATTGCTGTCGACCTCCGCAAGTAGATTCCTTTCTGCTTTGACATGTTCAACCTAAGCAAATTCAATAATGGCAATTAGAATAATTTGCACAACCTGAAATACCATTGTTTGCCATGCTAAAACAACTTTTACGGCTTTACCTGGCCTCTGCGAAGCATTTCCGACTTCTTAAGCTTTTTCATGGCATATACATGACCTGTTGTCTTCTCCCTACATACTCTAACCTGCACCATACAAATAGATGTTACCATATATGCAAACCAAAACCTCACTAATTACTGAAAAAAATGCAAGAAATCCCACTAAATATCATAAGTAATAAACCATCCCATTCCAATAACTCAGCAACCAATAGCCAATCAGAGAGGCTTATGCTCAAATGAATTGTTTTCATCAAGGTGTGGTTTTATGAATGAGAGAATGAACTAAAACACTGTCAAATGTTGTCGTAATTCAAACCTACTTGGTCCAGGTCAGTCAACTAAAGCAGGGAGCCAGGTACTGCATTTGAAGAATGACATGTTTCTGAGATATGTACATATATCAACGTAATGAATTGCTTGCACAGGACAATTGCGGGAGTGTAATTTCAACAGGAACAATATTGTTTCAAGCCTTTTTGAAGACATTTGCTCCTAATGTTTAAAAATAAACATAAGGAAACATGGACTGTCAATGAAATTTGATTGCATTCCCCCAATATAAATTTTTCTCAAGCAAAGAACTTAGAAACAATTCTTTTCTATTCCATTGCATACCCCAGCCTCAACACAGAGAGAGAGAGAGAGAGAGAGATGCAGAAAATGTTTCCGAAACAAATACAGATTTACAGCCATTTTTGCAAGCTAGAATAGCATCCAGATGGCAAGAAAGGGAAGGTGGAGAGAGAGAGAGAGAGAGAGAGAGAGTCATACCTCTCCAAATGCGCCCTTTCCTATCATTGTCAGTGGCTCAAAATCATCAGCGCCCATTTTATGCCTTTGAAGACGCATATATTCTCTTTCCTTATTCTCTAGATACTTCAGGATGTTGTTTTGCTCTTCTTCAGAAACCTCAGCATCCGCCAATTTCCTTTCCAGCATATTTCGTCTACATGAAAGCACAAAACGATCACCGCAAAGTACTACGAACTTGAAAGTTCATGACAACAAATATTTTGATTCTTGAAATGCAAAATCAACAACGCGAATAAAAAAAAAAGAAAAAGAAAAAGGGGAAGCAATGTCCCACTTAACAAATAATAAAGGTCAGAAACAATATCTAAAAGGCAACCAGAAAGAAAAAANAGGATCACCGCAAAGTACTACGAACTTGAAAGTTCATGACAACAAATATTTTGATTCTTGAAATGCAAAATCAACAATGCGAATAAAAAAAAAAAGAAAAAGAAAAAGGGGAAGCAATGTCCTACTTAACAAATAATAAAGGTCAGAAACAATATCTAAAAGGCAACCAGAAAGAAAAAAGCCAGAAATGAAATTCCTCTCCAACCCAAAAATTCAACAACCACATTAACTGCTGTGAGAAACCGATATGTTTCCCAAAAACCTCCAAACATATTCAACACAAAAATTAATAGTGGACCTGGGCAAGGTTTGAAAAATGGTCTTAAAGCAATATTCATCGAGAGTAGCACAATTCAATTGGGTTCCATCTGTTTGAGAAAGGCAAAGAGAACAAGCACAATGTCCACAAACATACTAGATGTTGAAGCTAGGAGGAACAGGAAATAATTGAAGGAAGAAAGAACTTAGATTTTAAGAGGCATTTTCCATAATGGACAACAAGACGCCACACGACAGAAAGGAAAAAGAAGTATACCCAGGTTGGTTTATATACTTGAGGGGCATTGTCAATTGATATTAAGTTGGGTACTCTCACATTGTATTAGAGCTAGGCTTTCGGTGGTCAGTAGGCAAAGTCTCTTACCTATTCGAATTTTTGGGTATGCATGTTTGTTAACCTCACGTGCAAACCCAGATCCAACATGAGAGATAGTGTAAAGAGAGATTGTACCCCACATCGAATGATTAGGACAACTAAGGTTGGTTTATATGCTTAACGGGTCTCTCAACTAATTGTTAGATTGCTTTGAGTCTGCTTAAGATGGAGAGTAGACCCATGCAAGTAACCCAACCTTATATACACCTCGATTTAAGAAGACAAAACTTACGAGAACAATAACTTGAAAATGCAGAAAAATAAATGACTAGAATGAGTTTTTCGAAGGATCATAGACGCGGTTTATTATAGCTAAATTAAGATGATAGCGAGTGAGAATCCAAAAAATAAAACGTATGAAAAGCTATGAAACACGGATACTTTGTAAAAGTCGATGTCTCTGTATTGAATACCATAAGAGATACGATCATATGAAACCCATAAAATATTTGAGAATAAGATGCGTATTTGATAAAAAAATAAAATATGCAGATACTCCACAAATACTACTACATGCAAAGCAATATATAATTTTCAATTTTAATTTTTACTCCCTCCTTTCAAATTCACATGTGATGCAATACATCAACAAAAATCCATATGACTTTTAAAGACATGGGTGTTTTCTAAGTACTATTACATGCTTATGTGGACGAGCTGAGGAGTTGATAAGTGTAAGTTTACCCGTCAAACAAATATAAATGAGTTAATTNATGGGTGTTTTCTAAGTACTATTACATGCTTATGTGGACAAGCTGAGGAGTTGATAAGTGTAAGTTTACCCGTCAAACAAATATAAATGAGTTAATTACACTATAATCTGAGCAACAACTATTTCTAGGCAAACCAACTAGTTAATTGGTGGCTCTTATTCCTTTAATTAGTAAAATTCACCCTGTGGATAGACTATAGTGAGACGATACATACCCTTTTTAAAGTAAAAATTGCAAATGTAAAAATTATTTTAAAAGAATTATTAAAAATTATAAATATCAAGTTGTTAGATAATAGTAAAAAATATAACATATATTTTATTATAGCATTGTATCCGTATCCATGCTTCCTAGATAAAAAGTCATGGATGGATTGTCTCGCCAATTTCCATTGGCAACAAAAAGAATATTTTGGCTATCTTTAATTTTTTATAAGAAACAAAATTTCATTGAAATATTTGACTACTTTAAATAAAGGAAACAAAAGTTTAATAGCCAAAACAATTCCTTTTTTGGCCTAACAGGTTCTATGAATTTTGTTAGGCCAAAAAAGGACTTGGTTGATTGTTAAACTTCTGTTTCCTTAGATCAATGGAACCCGTTAATCCACGGTGATTTGGACCTGGACATAGATTCTTAACATATTTACAGAACCTGCTAATCCACAGTCGTTTGCAACCAGACCAAGATTCTTATATCAATGGGCCTAATTTATTTTATTTAGTGGGAACCACTAATCCAACCACCCACATTCATTTGGTAAACAAAATTTAGTAAATTCACCAATATAGTTTCATATGTTCGATAATTAATCCCTTTCCAAACACATAAAGGTGAAATTGCAAAATACTTTTGAAAAGGAAATGATAAGGTGGTAAATAAGAAGTAAATTGTTGGTCGAAACAATGGACCCCAATAGTGCGACACATGGTGATACGGATCGCAAAAAACACAACTATTGCAATGTGAAAGTGTGGGCACAATTAATTTTATTTACTCCTTAACGAAGGCCTGATTTTAAAATTAACTTATGTCAATTTGTCACTTTTGGGATTTGTACTTCCATATTTAGACTTTGGGTGAAGCCTATAAATACTAGGTTTATGGTAATTAAAATAATATTTCCTCACTGGATATTGACATTGAATTGAAATTGGGTACCCTCTCTCTCTCTCTTTCTCTCTCTCTCCTGGTCCTACATCACATGATCTTTGTCAATGCATTATTGAGAATANCCACTGGATATTGACATTGAATTGAAATTGGGTACCCCCTCTCTCTCTCTCTCTCTCTCTCTCTCTCTCTCTCTCTCTCTCTCTCTCTCCTGGTCCTACATCACATGATCTTTGTCAATGCATTATTGAGAATATCTCACAAGTAGTGGCAAAATGAAAAGACACATAGCTAAGCAACAGATGCAACATCGAAGAAGGATGTCTTATTCTCAAACCTCAAGTTTGTCCAAATGCCCATATTAAAGTAGCAAAAATAATGCAACTTTCAATCGCATAATGATATTTTTTGATTTGACACTCGGTCGATTCTACAATTTGGTCTAGATAATAAATCTCGATCCTATATAATCTCCTAATTGGAAAACCTTTCCCCCAATACCACTGCTTCCTATATCTGTAGCATTGAATAGCCTAATCTCTAACAATTAAAGTTAGCTATTCAACTCTTTTCTTGAATATTGTCTACCCAACCTAAATTTAAAAGGACAAATTACACTTGGACCCCAAAATATGTGACTCATTTNACTGCTTCCTATATCTGTAGCATTGAATAGCCTAATCTCTAACAATTAAAGTTAGCTATTCAACTCTTTTCTCGAATATTGTCTACCCAACCTAAATTTAAAAGGACAAATTACACTTGGACCCCAAAATATGTGACTCATTTCACAATGCACCAAACACAATTATGTTTCACATTGCACCTTCATATACGGTTATTAGTTCCACATAACCCTTGTGATTAGAGTCCATTATGAATTTGATAGAAAGTTGTCCACTTTGTCACCTAAGTTATGTGTCACTTAGCTGACATGTGGACAATTTCTGTACAAAAGATGGCAAAAGTTTGTGTTTCGGAAATCTGAAACTAATTCAAATAGTTGANCCACATAACCCTTGTGATTAGAGTCCATTATGAATCTGATAGAAAGTTGTCCACTTTGTCACCTAAGTTATGTGTCACTTAGCTGACATGTGGACAATTTCTATACAAAAGATGGCAAAAGTTTGTGTTTCGGAAATCTGAAACTAATTCAAATAGTTGATGGAGCATATTCAAAATTTAATAGCTCAAGTAGTAAAGTTCAATCACGTCATAATTAAAGGAGTCAAAGTGTAATTTCCCTTGTCAATTGATTAATCATCGCTTTGGGAATTATTAACCCTTTATGGGCACCTATAAAGCACTGATAATCGATCTAGGTCGAAATATTCGTATCAATATTGTATAGGATGCGATACGTATAAGATACTCAAGAATACATATCGAGTACGCACCCTACGTATCTAATAATAGCTAAAATAATTTTGTTTATGGACAAGTCTCGGATATCGATATTGAATACATATATGTTTTGGATATAAGAGTTGATACGCAGAGCGATATATATAAATTCAGTTTAATATTTACCTTTTTCCTCTTGAATTCGCATACAATGATACACAACAAAAAATACATATGACTTTGAAGAAACGTGGGTGTTTCTTCATTATTATTTGCTACCCCTCATCAAAAGGTCATAAAAATAAGTTAATTACACCCTATCTCTTAGAAAAAAATACTTCTAAGAAAATCAACTAGTTGAATGCCTGCTCTAGTTCATTTAGTTAGCGCAGTCCATTTTGTGAATATACTTTAATGAGACGACCTATGATTGTTTGAAGTAAAAATTGTTTTTTTTTCCCGAATTCTTAGTGAAGACTTTCAAAAGATTATAATTATCAAATCGTCAAATATTAGTAAAAATATAAAATAGATTTTTTTCCATTAGACATATTTTGGTCATATACATGTATTGTTTTTTAACTTTTGCTATATCACTATGTCTGTATCGTACCCATATCTCATATTTGAATTCATGCTTCCTAGATGGCCTATAATGGATGGTTAAAGTGTAATGCCTAAGAAAAAGGACTATTTTTAGGAACAAACTACCTCTTTAGATTTTTGTAGTAGCCATTAAATGGATGTAATGGAATGATATATAAAAGGAAATTGTGAATCTAACTGGATTAAAATGTAAATTAAGGAAATAAATGGCCTTCTAAGCTTTAATGCTCATGTTCCCCAAACTATTTCCATTTCCTTCTTTGGATTCCTCCTTTTCTGTTCCTTTTAACAAAAATTTAGATCATAAATTCTTGTTGAAATACCATATTTAACACCGTATATGCTCTGAAAGAGGAATTTGTAGATAAGGATCAAAAGTTCCCTAGTCATACCCACAAAAAAAAGTACACTATAATATTATACCCGATCTCAAGTCTCAACTTTCCTCTTCTCAATGATTTGCTAAAAGCCAAGGAAAAGAATTTCCAACATTCCACAGACCACTAATACATATATATACCAACACAACATAGGGCTACAAATCAACCAAGTTGTTCATGAGCAACTCAGGATCATCTCGAATTAAAGCTCTTTCATGTTTGTTTATATACAGAATGAAATGAGCTTTAGCCCAATTTTAAAGCTCGTTTATCAAATGAGTGGAGCTTGAACATATCTTGTCTACAAAATCTAGGCTCCTAAATAGATTATATATCTATATACAAACATAGATATATATAATATTGTATGCATATGTTTCATGTTGAGTTGCACATAAACACGGACACACACCTATTCTAATGCCCATAGGGCACCATTGAGTGTGAGAGAAAGAGAGAGAGAGATAGAAAAGAATAGAAAGATGATAAGAAAGACCCAAATGACTTTTATGGACTAAGGAAGAGAACACCCAACAGTCAACACTCTTACCTCTTGTGAAGTTATCCCACATCGAAACCGATAAACAAAAAAAGTAGAAACCGCCCTGTAAATAAAATCACACATCGAAACCAGATAAAAGAGAAGTTGTGGCCTCTCTATAAAAAGGACTTCCGCTGAGTTCTTTTGTTGCCTTTGCAAGAAGTGGCTACGACTCGACTTGCTTCTTTAATTGAGTCGAGTCAAGCCAAGTTAAACTCTAGTCTGGATAAAAATTAGACGAGACGACGTTGATCAAATTTTTGGAGTTCAACACGATCTCGAGCCAAAATTGAACATTCTCTTGAACTAGACGAGCCACAAGCTTGAACAATTTAGTACTTAGTTGGGCTCCGTTCATTTTGCACATCTAACTCAACATAATTGGTAATATATTCGTGGAACGTTCTACAAGAGACTCGGTGACAGTTGATTGTTTAGTATACCACTTGGGCAATCAATGAAGAATAAAATTAGAAGATTTCCACTTATGACCTAATGCCACTAGGGTTACAATTTTCAGCATGTGAACAAACAATCATTAGACCATGATTATAGAGTTTTGCAACCAATGGCATAGAAAAAAACACAAAACAAAAATGCCAAGAGGAACTACTGAGTTTGAGTGGCAAGAGATGGGATCACATTGAAGGAGAAAAATTATTCTTTGGCATAAATGCCATACCAGCAGTCTCAAACTCGGTTAAAAGGATGTGTATACCAAATACATTCAACTAATGATACAAAAATTCTTGAATTTTGTAACCACCAAGTTCTGTATTTTTTTAGGTGTTGCGAAGAAAGAGAGTGGAAGAAAGAGAAAAGGTCAAGAAGCATGAATAAATATGAGTTTGTGTGGGTAAAAACCAAATAGGAAGTGATAATCTTGAGTTAGTCGGTAGAGTTAAATGTGTTTGTATGAGTAAAGACCAAATGGGAAGCAATAGTCTTGAGTTAGTGGATTGTTGAAAAGGGGAGACACCAAGTGAAGAAAAAACCCCTACTCCGCCTTCGCGTATTGGCATAGACTAAATGATAAAGTTGATTCATGTGCTGCACACACTCTTCATCACAATTTTATATCAATAACAAGTTACCCATCAAAAAATAGACTCAATAACCTGCATGCATAATCTACTGGAACCTATCCTAATTCTAGTCTTAATTACCAAGCACCAACCCTTTTAAGTACACCAGATGCCATAATGTTATTGAATCAGCACAATAATCTAGCAAGTATCAACTAATGCGCCCATGCCGTGGCATCAACTGTAATTTGTTGTTCAGTGATTGTATTATAAATCATCACTGAAATTCAATACAATGAGTACAATATAAGAAAAAGAACGCCAGAACAGGTAATGCCAATAGTGTGGAGAAGCACCAAGTTGGATTGGTATGCAAAAAAACCATAGGTTTAGAAGATTCCTTGATGGCACTCCTAGATTGTAAGACATCTATATATTAAAGAAAATAATGTTGAAATGCTTTCCAAAAATACAGTTTTTGATGGAATGCTTCCCAAGTGTCAAATGAATGAGGACCATCAAAATTTAGTAACATTCTTCCAATAAATAGTTCCATATTGGAACCTCATGCTTGTGCATTATTGGCAAATCAGACAACAAAATCATTCATTGGAAAGTGTATAATCCAAAATGACCAATTACAGAAATTAAGCTGATAATATACAAACAGAGCAGAGAGATCATACCGCTCCTTCCGCTCCTGCAGGTTTTTCATTTGCTCCTTATAATGCTTTTCTATATACTGCTTAGCAGCTTCAACCTTCTGCNGTTGGCAAATCAGACAACAAAATCATTCATTGGAAAGTGTATAATCCAAAATGACCAATTACAGAAATTAAGCTGATAATATATAAACAGAGCAGAGAGATCATACCGCTCCTTCCGCTCCTGCAGGTTCTTCATTTGCTCCTTATAATGCTTTTCTATATACTGCTTAGCAGCTTCAACCTTCTGCTTAGTGGCGTCTGAAGGTATTTCCTCACTCGGTAGTGCTTTTGACCCTTCTTTTCCATTACTTGTAGCTTCATTCTTCTTTGAACTCTTCTGCTTATCTTTTGATCGGAATTTACCAAACCAACGCCTTGCAGACTCCATCTATCTCACTTGACTAACACCTCTCTGATCAGGCCTCAACTAAAACCTCAAGTACCATAAATCCAAGCTGCTAAATGTTCTGGTTTCTACAACATCCGTGAGTACCGCACAATTCATCAATTTCTGTGTCCATCCACATAAAGAAACCAATTTCATAAGTTCTGCATTCAGATATAAATAATCACATTCATTCAAGTAAGAACAATCATTTTGTGGTAGGTAAGAAATAACTACTAAGATTCCAATTTTGTCTTATTCAATTTGAAAAGTTTTCCCTCAAATTCAAACAAAATTAAAAATATAACATACTGTTGATCACAAGTCCAAATGCACCAATTGAATTAACCATTTTATTCAAAATATTAGAAGGGAAAAAGCTGCAATCTGTAAGCTACTTATCTCTTTATATCTTTCTTTATCAAATGACTACCCATTTCTCATATTATTGAGTTGAGCTAATCAAAACTCTCTCTTTCATCCCAAGTGTAACAACCCAGTCAACTGAAGCTCACTTAAGATAGTAGCATACAGACACATACATGCAGAGACTTGATACTTCTAGAATACCAAGAAACACGAAACACCCAAATAACAGAATGTGATCGGCGGTGTGCATTCTTAAAAGCCTCTCCTTTCCACCAATTGACATCAAATTTTACAAATTCTGCACCAAATTACGACATCTTAATCCTCAAATTCTTACGAAAACAACACAAATATATGATAAACAGACTCTCATTATCAAAATTCAAATACACATTCAAACAAACCACAAAATTCGGCAAAACTCCACGGATCAACTGATCCAAACCCCTAAAAGACACAAAATTCAATTCAAAAACCACACCGAAACTCTAAATTCCACAAGTCAGAAACAAATCGAGCTGCGCAACGAAGAAAAAGAGAGAGTACCGCGTAAACTCAAAACCCTAGATAGAAAAGACACGGAGAGAGAGAGAGAGAGAGAATTGAAAGTGTAGTTGAAATCTGTGTTGCGTAGTGACCAAACCTTTAATGGCGTGTCATGATCCACCATAATCCCTTTTCCTCCCCAGTTGAAACTCTCTCTCTTTCTCCTCTGTAACTTTTTTCTTCTGCTCACCAAGTTCTGGAATGGTGCTCTTGCTTCTTTGTCTTTGTATATAATAACCTCGCCCTATATGTACGTCTTTATTTGATTTCTTTCTAAACCAGACGGCGTCCAATCTCTCGAGAAATGTTTCATCTCATCTCGCGAGAGACTCACACTAAAAAATCGTCACCACTGGTTATTGGTGTGTAATGCGCACACCTCTGGTTTGGGTTCAAGTTCAACCTGTTATATTCATTTTTTTAAACCAATTTAAAAAAAATAGTTCAAACTATGCCCAAATCGAGCCAAAAATTAGTCAAACTTAAGCTAAACTCGAATAACTTAATTATTTTATATATAAACGAGTCAATTTTTTGAGTTCAAACCGAATTTTTTAAATTCAATTTTTTAAACAAACTTAAAAAATTATTTAAACTTGACTCGTTTTTTAAGAGCCTTATATAAGGCGAGCTCGAATAACTCGACTCGATTATTAGCCTTACAACCACATAATTCCTTCCTATATATGTAAAAGTTTCCCTTCTTTCCTTTGTTTTTTCCTTATTTTTGCGGGGTTTTGTGAAAGATAAGTGACGAGCTCAGATTCAAACTAGTCCTGGGCTTAGTTCATTGGTTAAACTCAAACCATTAAAAAGCATACCAGACTTATCTAATAACTTTAATTCAATTCAAAACCCAAGAGTCTTAGAAGAGTTGACGCACATGAAAGAACAATTATCGGGATAGTCATGACTCCAAGGTAATGTCTATCCCCAATTATAATTTTCCTTCTTAACAAACTANTTCTCCTCTGTAACTTTTTTCTTCTGCTCACCAAGTTCTGGAATGGTGCTCTTGCTTCTTTGTATATAATAACCTCGCCCTATATGTACGTCTTTATTTGATTTCTTTCTAAACCAGACGGCGTCCAATCTCTCGAGAAATGTTTCATCTCATCTCGCGAGAGACTCACACTAAAAAATCGTCACCACTGGTTATTGGTGTGTAATGCGCACACCTCTGGTTTGGGTTCAAGTTCAACCTGTTATATTCATTTTTTTAAACCAATTTAAAAAAAATAGTTCAAACTATGCCCAAATCGAGCCAAAAATTAGTCAAACTTAAGCTAAACTCGAATAACTTAATTATTTTATATATAAACGAGTCAATTTTTTGAGTTCAAACCGAATTTTTTAAATTCAATTTTTTAAACAAACTTAAAAAATTATTTAAACTTGACTCGTTTTTTAAGAGTCTTATATAAGACGAGCTCGAATAACTCGACTCGATTATTAGTCTTACCACCACATAATTCCTTCCTATATATGTAAAAGTTTCCCTTCTTTCCTTTGTTTTTCCTTATTTTTGCGGGGTTTTGTGAAAGATAAGTGACGAGCTCAGATTCAAACTAGTCCTGGGCTTAGTTCATTGGTTAAACTCAAACCATTAAAAAGCATACCAGACTTATCTAATAACTTTAATTCAATTCAAAACCCAAGAGTCTTAGAAGAGTTGACGCACATGAAAGAACAATTATCGGGATAGTCATGACTCCAAGGTAATGTCTATCCCCAATTATAATTTTCCTTCTTAACAAACTAGTACCATGACCCTCACGCCACTGTTTCAACTAAAGTGTCTCTACCTAAAAATCGTAAACCCTCATACACATGGGGACAGATTACACACACCTCACCTTGAGCATATTCTTGCGCTCTCTCTCTTTGTCCTACTATCTTGTAATCTCTTATTGATAGAGTTCTTCGATCACCGTTATCGCGTTCAGTAGTTAGGTCACCTAAACCCAGCTACTCAATCTTTTCCTCTTATTATTAATTATTTTATTAATTACTTTACACCACACACTCTATTAATTTGATTGTGCATAATCAATTTTATGCATCATCAATAAGAAAATTTTTAATTAAATAACTTTAAGATTCAAATCCAATCCATATNGAATTTTTTAAATTCAATTTTTTAAACAAACTTAAAAAATTATTTAAACTTGACTCGTTTTTTAAGAGTCTTATATAAGACGAGCTCGAATAACTCGACTCGATTATTAGTCTTACCACCACATAATTCCTTCCTATATATGTAAAAGTTTCCCTTCTTTCCTTTGTTTTTCCTTATTTTTGCGGGGTTTTGTGAAAGATAAGTGACGAGCTCAGATTCAAACTAGTCCTGGGCTTAGTTCATTGGTTAAACTCAAACCATTAAAAAGCATACCAGACTTATCTAATAACTTTAATTCAATTCAAAACCCAAGAGTCTTAGAAGAGTTGACGCACATGAAAGAACAATTATCGGGATAGTCATGACTCCAAGGTAATGTCTATCCCCAATTATAATTTTCCTTCTTAACAAACTAGTACCATGACCCTCACGCCACTATTTCAACAAAAGTGTCTCTACCTAAAAATTGTAAACCCTCATACACATGGGGGACAGATTACACACACCTCACCTTGAGCATATTCTTGCGCTCTTTCTCTCTCTCCTACTATCTTGTAATCTCTTATTGATAGAGTTCTTCGATCACCGTTATCGCGTTCAGTAGTTAGGTCACCTAAACCCAGCTACTCAATCTTTTCCTCTTATTATTAATTATTTTATTAATTACTTTACACCACACACTCTATTAATTTGATTGTGCATAATCAATTTTATGCATCATCAATAAGAAAATTTTTAATTAAATAACTTTAAGATTCAAATCCAATCCATATAGAATTTCATTAATTTTTCGAACGTTTTGTCCACCATCAATCTATACGATTAATAATTATATTCAAGTGAATTTTTCATTAATATAAGAAAAAAAAATGGCCAAATATTATCATTATGGTCCAATTTTAGTGTGACAAGACTCCCACATTGGAATATGAATCGCATTCTTATTCCATAACTCAAGTTTGTTCCATCTAGGAGATGAGAATAATTGAGAAAAATATGATAAACAAGTGCATAACAGATCGAAATATATTAAATAATTCGAGTCATGGACTCCAGTGAAGCAATGTAGCATACGAATAATATATGGGCATGACTACGGTATTAAAGAAAAAATTTTGGTATTGTACCTCTAATTTTTATTATTTTAATGGGTATTTTTATATTTTTTATTGGTTATTTTGTAAAAAGAAAATTATCATTTTTGTGGGTAATTTATTACTTTTGTGTGAATTTTTATCACTGTTATAAATATTTTTACCACTTTTCTTCGATACAAAAAAAATATCNTTCCTTCTTAACAAACTAGTACCATGACCCTCACGCCACTATTTCAACAAAAGTGTCTCTACCTAAAAATTGTAAACCCTCATACACATGGGGGACAGATTACACACACCTCACCTTGAGCATATTCTTGCGCTCTTTCTCTCTCTCCTACTATCTTGTAATCTCTTATTGATAGAGTTCTTCGATCACCGTTATCGCGTTCAGTAGTTAGGTCACCTAAACCCAGCTACTCAATCTTTTCCTCTTATTATTAATTATTTTATTAATTACTTTACACCACACACTCTATTAATTTGATTGTGCATAATCAATTTTATGCATCATCAATAAGAAAATTTTTAATTAAATAACTTTAAGATTCAAATCCAATCCATATAGAATTTCATTAATTTTTCGAACGTTTTGTCCACCATCAATCTATACGATTAATAATTATATTCAAGTGAATTTTTCATTAATATAAGAAAAAAAAATGGCCAAATATTATCATTATGGTCCAATTTTAGTGTGACAAGACTCCCACATTGGAATATGAATCGCATTCTTATTCCATAACTCAAGTTTGTTCCATCTAGGAGATGAGAATAATTGAGAAAAATATGACAAACAAGTGCATAACAGATCGAAATATATTAAATAATTCGAGTCATGGACTCCAGTGAAGCAATGTAACATACATACG